GTCATTACTAAAACCATTCTTAGCCAGGTTGGTAAGTCATTTTTGGAGCGGTGGATGACTAGTATTCGGAATTACCACACCCTAGTATGACTCAGAATTCGCGCAACCTGCCGAAACTTGCGAAAGATTGACAGTCACTCGCCAATCGTCATTAAGTAAGGTTGTAATTCTGATAACCTGGATACTGGCTTTTCAACAAGTTTTTTTATGACCGCTTAAAAAAGTATACACTGTAAAAATGGCTACTTGCAAAGTATGCATTTTTTTCATTGATTTTGACTACCGATATAAATTTTAATACATTTTAGAGAATAAATACACGAAAATTCTTTCTTGTGCTTGGTTGTTAGCAAATTACGTCTTCTTTAAGTGCCATACTTAAAGAAAGGGTATCTTTTGATTTAAAGAAGTTTCTAAATTGCCGAATAATTTTAATACCTACCGACTGCTGCACCTGAATTCAAGGTTTACAAAATGCATGCCTACGGTTTGAGGAAGAAGTCACATAGTTCTCATAAAATATTGCAATAGGTGTGAAACATGCTTTATGCAGTATAGGTAGCATTAATAAATTGACTTTTGCTATGTATTATGAATGAACACCCCACAATCATAAAAGTCTTATAGATAGACATTTTGAGACCGAAAGCTACCCTTTTTTAATTATATAATTTTAAGAAGGCGTAATTTGCTACCAAACGAGTGCAAGAAACAATTTTCGTGCATGTTTCCCCTAAAATATATTTGAATTTATAATAGCAGTCGAAATTAATGATAAAAATGCATATGTCTTAAGTAGCCGTTTTTACAGTACATCATTTTTTTTAGAGGTCATAAAGAAGCTCGTTAAAAATCTAGCATCCTAGCGTGACTGAAATGACTTAGGAATAGGCTACAAGTTAATCAGTATTAACATATTACTCAATGACGATTAGTGAGTGAGTATCAATCTTTCGCAAATTTCGGCATGTCGTACGAATTCTGAGTCGTACTTTAAGTAGCAGCATGGAGGGGTATTTATCATACAAGTTTTCAAAGACGATTCGAACTTAATAGAAATTGACGACGTGGATTTTACGAGGCAGAGAACTAAGATGCCAATTCGAAAATCCTGCGATTCTCGTGTAGAATGCTGGTTTTCGACCGTAGATGATGACCTAAAAATCACTCTTACCATATTGTATTTCACTGAATCCATTGTCGTCGCCTGTTAAGAGGTTTTGTAGGGATGAATCTTATGGCCACGTCAACAGGCCACAGGAGTAGGAATGCTTTGCCCAGTTCAAGTAATTGGCCTTGTGATCAATTCAAGGGGGAATGCATATTCCCGTGACTTGACCCCAACATAAAACTAAATTTTAACCTAGATCATACCTTCAGACCTACCCCAAACCTGAAACCTACCGTTAACTTGTACCTCACCCTTAAACATTAACATAATCCCAGCCACAAGTTAATCCTAAACCTACTTTCTTGGAATATGTCGCCTATATGACTGTACGGTGGGCCGGTTTTGGTCCCGTGTCCTGGTCATACGGTCACACAAGTCCTCCTTACCAAAAAAGGTCATCTGGCGAACCATTTATTCAGTAACTATTCACTTAGTCAAGTAGTCCAATTTAGGGCGCATGATAAGGCTCTGCCATTAGGAGGTAAGGGACAAAGAACCGCCCACATTGCATGTGGCCTTAAGGCATCTTCAGCGGAAATTAGGTTACTAATCAAGATGAGTATTTGAGTTCAGTTTAAGGTTAGGAGTAAGATTGAGGGGAGGGGGTTAACGTCACAGCTGGAATTAGGGTCAGAATGCTGTTAAGGGTTGCTGTTGTGGTTAGTATTAACTGTAAGATTTAGGTAAGTGGAGGCCTTGGATTAAGATTCAGGTTACAGGATAAGTTTATGTTAGGGCTGGTATTAGAGTTAAGGTACGGGAATTCTCAGCCTTCATACAATTTATCGTAAGACCTCGCATTTTAAGTCGGCGGGGCGTTTTTAATCCTGTGTTTCCTTAAGGCGGCCATGCAAGTTATCCTTACCGACGCTTTGAGAATGGGTTAAGGCATGACTCCGAAAAGTAGATAGAAAGAAATATCTGCGCCAACTGTATCGTCGTGGTCGTGACAACAAGCTCTTAATCAGCCATTCTCAGACTAGAACACTCAAACACCAAGAAGACAATTCAATTACCGTAAAATTGTATCCGTAAGGAACGGCCTCCCTGTCCAATACAGCAGTTGACATGACGTTTCCATTCTGGTCAACTGTGAAGACCATGTCCTTGCTTTTCGTCCCTTTGGGCCAGGAGAGTGTGTAGGATATACGTGCATTTTCTCCAGCATCGGGGTCCATGGCTCTCACCACACCGACAACTGATCCGTTTGGAATTTCCTCCCGAACCTGCATAAAAACGAGTAAATATGACGAGCCTTACGAAGTTCCCGGTGACTCATACATGTTGCATTTTGTGACCAGGAATTATCCACAAAGGATGTTATATCCTAAACTTTCGTCTATTTCATCTAATTTTATTCGGTCAGTAAAATCAAGAATCGATCATCATTTGGACAGTTAAGTGGCATGCTGGATGGACGTTCAAAATAATTGGTTCTCTACACCTGTTCACCATATTTCATGAAAAGGTTTTATTTTACATATCGTAAAACGAAAACCACGTTAGATTATTTCCTCTTAGATGCAAACTTAGGTTACGTTCTTAACGGCAAAAACAAGGGAAGGAAATTTTAACGTAAGATATTCATTTGTGGATACCGAATGTTTTTGTTCATTTCGTCACATGATCTTCCATAGGAAATTATTCCTTTAAGTCTATCTCATCCAGATGTCTCAGAAAAACTTATGCAATTTACTTTGAATTTTCACGTTTCTATTGCCACTGTTAACTGCATGTAGGAATTGCACTTGCAAATTGAGTCAATGCGGTACTCTGTGCAATTTATTAGAAGTTACACGAAAATGGGCTTTATGACAATGGCCGAACTGGGACTTTCGTCCACTTTTTATCACAGCTTTTGACCGTTTGTATTGGAACAGTCAGTTCAGTTGAGGGTTTTCATTTCATGCATAGTCAAATAGAACATACCAGACGACAACGTGCTTCAAATAAGGATAGTATTTGGATGGTTTGCGCACTGTCTTAAAAAGTTTTTCAGTTTTAGTTTTGTTTTTTAGTGCGGAATGTTGCTGTGAACAACATATTTCAAGTATTTGCTTCGTCATCCTCTCCGATCCCCAAAGCCGCAATTGCACTTATCTCTCAGTGTTAAGTCCTTTACAGATTTCCAAAGTGGGCCCGTAGTATGGGTACTGAGCAGAGTGACAAGCTGTAATATTGTTCCCTAATTCAGCCCTAACTTTTAAACGTTCACATTCTATATCGATTATATCAAGCATTCTCTTTCATTCCCAAATACGCAACCGCTTGATCTGGAGTGCATTCCAAGAATACATATTTAGTTAAGATCTTGCAGTGGGGGAAATATGCCTGGTTTTCGTTAAGAAATTTGCTGCTCTCCGCAACAGTGTCCTGGTTATTTAGAACACTACAGTCACAACAAAGTATACGTTTAACAGAATATCAGATCAGTGGAACATTAAAAAAGTAAGCAATCAATGAAATATGTTCATCAAAAACACGAAGGAGAAAACTTGCTAATAATAATATTCAAGTGGATTACCTTAATGCGTGTTGGTTATTCATTCACCTTATTAACATAAATTTACTGTTTTTCGTCAATTAGAAACATCGTTTTTATTGACAATATGAGTCGATAATTTTTAACTGAAGATTATGTTTTGTTTTTGCTTTATTGCTGACCAATTTTGGTGAAAAGAAACATTCTATACCTTGCCTGCCTAACTGCGTGTGAAAGCAATTCCCAAACCAACTTCTCGGGTTTGAGCACAATTTAGTTTTTACAGAATGGCCTGGCTATCCACGAGTCTATATTTGTTAAGTTATTAAAGTAAGCAACATGGGCGCTATTAAATCATAGTCATAGGATTACTGAATATCCCACTGCAGTTTTAAGCGATTTTCTACTTTAAAGTATGCTAGTCAGTCGGATAGGGCAACAGATAGTTAGATCTTTTGGTACTGCAAGCCGATATATCCATCGAATTATTCCTAACTCAAAATTAGTGAAGAATTTGAAATTGCAAAAACCACCTCTATCTTGTCAATGTAAAAAAATAAGTGTTCCTGATTCAATCCATCGTTTGATGTCATTTTATGAATGAAATATAAAAAATAAAAAAAAATTTAAAAAATAAAAAATATATACCATATTACAAGCTAGGCTTTCAATTTCTCCTGAAGTCGTGAATAATACGCATACAACACAACGCGCTATCGATAGGCAAGGCCCCTTTAGGACTCCATTTTGCATGAAAAATAGTCTAGTTCACATTTTAGGTGGGCATTAGTGCCATTAAAGACTTGATATTTTCGAGTTTAAAAGGCATTATGTTGAAAAGAACGACAAAATGAAAATTCGCTACAGTAAGCTATATTGTTTAAACCCTTACATTTAAATTCAGGCAATAAAAACCAACTTAAATTATGTACTATAACTATTTTTAAATTGAACTCACGACTTCATGATAATCGGACCATAGCCAAGCCATGAAATTTTCGAGAGGGAAACAAGACACACAGCACTTAAGCAACGAAAACAAACCTCCACAGCGGCAATTTTTTAGTTTGATAAGTTACTGAAAGGCAGTATATAAAGAATGTCAAATTAGCTAATGAGGCATGTTCGATATTAGTATAGGAGCTGTCTCGTCAAAGAAGTCTTTAACATAAGATTAGCATCAACTGGACGTAATGGGTTAGTGCGCGGTCTTTGAAGCTACCCCGTTTTTCAGTTTTTAAAAGGAAAGCTGCTGTTATATTGGTTGTTTTGGTACTCTGCACAAATATATAATTTTAAAATGTAACACAACTCTACGACAGTAATTACTTTATTAAAATACCTGGATAAAATACATCCTTCAATATATATAGGTTTGGCTGTCAAAACGTGTTTCATACTGCAACCTAACCTGCATAAATACACTGACTAGTGTCCATTCGACTACTTTTTTTTTATAAAAATAACAATCGCCACGTAACATGAGAGTAAATGATTGTTTTATGATTTCAGCTTCTAGCATCTGCCGCAATACTTTTCTAGCAAATGCCAGGAGACCATAACACAAGCGCGGAATTTTTATTCAATCGTTCTCCAACTTTTTTTTTCCCTTTCATGCTAACTGGTGAAAAGTAAGCAGTAAAATGGATGAATTTGGAAATGTTGTTTCCAATGGTCATGACCCTTCACGAACTCGCATAAATTTACCAGTACAAACGAAGTATGCAGAAAACTTTTTAAGAAACTATTCCTCGTTTTTTTTTAATTAATAAAGGTCTTTGGTGGATATATTTAGCGCTCAAGATCTGTCAGTTTTGTTTTAAAATTAAATCGGCAAAAGCAATCTTACCGCTAAAAAACTCCGCTTTTTGCATTCTGCAGTATGCCTTGCTTGTACTCTACTGCGAGTCGTCTTAATTTACGTTCTTGCCAAACGAAGTGACCAAACTTCTAATAGAACATAAATTTTTTGAAGTGACAGATTTAGATTTTGCTTCTTCTTTCACTGGGGAAAAGTAAAATTACGTAGTGATTTTATCTGTACACTTTTATACGCGTGCATGCAGTAGTAACCCAACGATGAAATATAAAATATCATTCCCGCACGGACGCTGTGCTTTCATTTACCTTATAAATGCAATACTGGTCGTTTTTCCTTTCAAACCTTTAAATTAACAGCGCAGCATTCATGCGAGGCTTTCCGAGGCAGAAAATAGGTACGCAGTCAGGAGCACACACCAGTCAACATAATTTTCGTCCCCATCCTGTGGTTAAGTAATGTCATCTTAGTTCTGCCATTTATCCCTAAAGCGCAAAACATTTTTTTGCTGCGTTAGCCGTATTTCACCGCTTAGAAGGCCAAAAGACTCTGAAGCCCGAAATGACGTGAAAGCCTACTATATTGGCAAAATTAACAGTGGAAAACCCTAGCATGGAAGTTCACTCAATGCTACGCACAGACTGATAAACGAAAATACTAACAGCGTACTGGTAGGGGAAAACTAATTTTTGAGTACGCAGAATTGCAGAATTAACGGAATATTCTGTGAATCATCGATAAATCAGGCGAATGTACCAACCCGCATATTTGGGGAGCTCGTGAGGGCATTCAGCCTTGGGCAACTATTTGGTCTAAGGTTATAGCCGTGCTTTTTCCAAAAATGCCTGTGAGACGAGAACGATCAGCTTGTAAAAGCAGGCAGAGAAAAGGTTTTAAGTTTGCCCGTTTTGATATAAATTCGACAAGACGAAATTTTCTTTTGACTTTTATCGTTTGAATTCGTTAAGCGTTCAGATTCACTCACTGGTTGGCAGTTGTGCGAAGATGAGTTGCAGACGTTAAAAATAGTGCACGCCCACAGCATCACAGTAGTTGCAGAAAACTGCATCATTAAAGCGAACATTCTGACGTCTTATCACAGTACAACGGACAGTATAAGAGTACTTGTCTTTCTTATTTACTCATATTAGCCTGCGTTTGGTTGGCATACATACAAAAATCAATATACTGATATGAGAAAGAAGAGTTGTTGACTTTGGATCAATTTTTTATTGCTATGATCTGACTAGTGTACACCCACTGTAATTATCCCTTTATTGTTGTTGTTCCTTATCTCTGACGATAGACTCCTGTTAGAGTTCGAAAACTCAGAACAATAAACGAAATGATCCAGTGCTCAACAACTGTTCCTCCTCATGCATGAAAATTCCTGGAACGCGATCGTTTTCATCCATTTACATATATATATATGATTTCCATTTGGGAGAATTACGCAGAACATTTCGAAACGGCGTTCTTGAACAGTTTTAAACGTTTTTTATGATTTTGTTTCTGGCGCTGTCAGTGAACGTCCTGATATGTCCAACCTAACTAAAATAACGTACAAAAATACGAAAAATGTGGCATTCTAAATATTATTTATTTAAACCGGGCACACTTATGTGCTCATGTCTTGATTCCACCTTCTGATCGGAGTATTAGAAACCTTTTAATAATTTTTACTTATCTTCTGTAACATGGACTTTGAAAAGAGCAATGAAACCTGGAAAATTTTACTAGAACTAGATGGGGGCTGGGCAAGAGAGGGCGTCAGTGATTTTATTTTATTTTACAAAAAAGTATCTTATACAATCTAATGCACTGAACATTTTGCGCGATTTGTACAACACTAAAGGTCATGCGAATAAAACAGTAGTGAAATCTGCCGGCTGAAACCTATTTAGGGCAGACTGTCTAGGACTGGGAGACAAATTACATTTTAGACTTCGTCTTGCCGTCCTTAGTCATCCAAAACCTTTTGTTTTATTGTTTGGCGACTTGATAAGTGCTCTTCTACCATTACCACTCAAGGATGGCGCTAGTTGATACGTGGGATTCAATTTTTATTGTCTTCGTCCGGTTCTAATGTGAGTAAAGAAGTGATGGCCACCTAAAATGACTGACTGATAGTATGTCGGCTTGGAGTACCTGTCGAATGCCTTTGCTTGCGGTTCATGCGTGACATTTATGCAAATATAGGCATCGCATGCTATCGGTCGGCTGCCTGATACAACCTTGAAATGGCCTGAACGTAATAGAGATAAATATATTTTTAAAATTTTAGTGCTAAGTTTAACAAGCACGAACTTTGGTAAACCTGTCCATTCTTTTGCTGAATTCTTGGATATTATACTGCTTTTGTTGCTGCTTTATCAAATGGCGATTATCTGAGAACATATGTATCTAAGCCTGACAACCTCTTGCGTAAACGCCAGCGATGATGTCGATTAATGCAAACGTCGCTAAAATACTTCCCTTTTATATTATGATGGAAAAATCTTTAAAAAAAGTCAGAAGTTTATTTCAGTAAAGTCAAATCACTTACGGTCAGCTTATAGAATGGAAATTCAAACTGTGGCGCATTATCATTCTCGTCAAGTATGGCAATTTGTATGAGTTGACTGGAGGTGAGTCGGGGGCTGCCTTTATCCTGGCAGACTATCCACAGGGGCACGGTGGGCGTCTTCTCCCTATCGAAGGTTCCCACTGCGAAGAGGTTGTAGATATTCACCTGTGGGACCTTGCCTTTCAGCTTGAGGTGAAACATTCCCGAAGTGGCGACCGCAGCTTTCTCGGAGGAGGAGGAGGCATCAATTGATGAGATAATTCCACTAGGCGAACGGAGTACGCAGGAAAATTCGCCACCGATGCCTGTATCCCGATCTTGCACGGTTATGGTCACCAGATGTTTCATCGTCATGTTGACATTTTCCGGAATCGTTAGCACTGATCGCGATTCCTCCTCTATGAGGGGAACTTCCGTGTCGTTGAGACGTTTGTATACGGACGGCGACTGAACACGGATTTTGGGCGCATGGTTGTTGGTATCTTCCAGTTCAATGGTGACTTCTGTCACGGCAGACCGGGGTGGCCGTCCACAGTCACTGGCGACAATTTGAAAGGTCCAGGAGGTTGGTCCGTCATCGTAGCTCAGCGGCCTCATGACACGCAGTTTGCCTGACGCACTGTCCAGCGCAAAAGTCTTTTGGATTTCACTAGGTGTTGATCTGGCAAAGGTGTAGTGGACTCTGCCATTGATACCCTCGTCTTTGTCAGTGGCCAGAAACTGTTCTACTGTTTGGCCCCGGCTGTCTTTTGAGCCAAAGGTCCCATCGTCGTCTGACTGACGATCGTCCTGGTAGGGCAACTGCCCAGAAGTCTGCAGGGTTACAACACTTCCCACGGGTGCAGTTTCAGGCAGGTAGGCTTTATACTTCTTATGCTGAAAACTCGGTGAATGGTCGTTTTCATCGCCCACTTTAATGAAAATCAGCAAACTGCCGGTATGGAAGGGGGGACTGCCATCTATTGCAAGAAGGCTTAGGTTGTGCCAGGGTTTTGTCTCTCGATCGAGGGCATGCAGAACGACCAGGCAGGGAATTCCGACCTCATCGTAGTATTCAGCAGAGGAGACGTCCTGCAGCTTTGTCCGTATTCTTCGCTTTGGCTTGGATATGGCAGTGGTCATCTTCAGCGCAAAATAATAACTGTCCTCTGCTGTCGTCTCCAGTTTGTACTTTTTAATTCCATTTCTGCCATAGTCAGGATCGCGTGCGGAGGACAGTTCCAGCAAAACTTCGGCAGCCGTGTTTTCTTGTACCGTCAATACTATGTGATCTACGGGCCAGAAGGGAGCGTTATCATTGACGTCGTCGACTATTATCCTCAGCGGCAGATACTGACCACTGTTGTCAAACAACAAACTGCTCCAAATACAGAGTTGTGGAAAACCTGGCTCCTGACAGAGAGCCGGATTATCGTCCCGGTCGAGTGGACCAGCCACAAGTACATATCCGTTCGCATCTAGTTTGAAGAAGGCATTCTTTTGTAAGTAGAACTTCACACTTTGTCCACGATAGTCAAGGCCATTGAAGATACTCCCAATAATTGTTCCTGGGGGCGTATTTTCTTTCACGCTGAGCTCAACCTGTGGTAAAGTCCCGTTCATGTTACCGTCAGAGGTTATGCCCTTTGTCACATGCAAGAGGCAGCACACCCAGAAGACCAGAAAAATCCAGTGGTCGAACCCATTTGGCATACGGAGGGTTTTGCCCAGCTCAGGCGGTTCGGCGGACATTGCATGGCCATCAATATAGTTTTAGAGTGTCAGAAAACGTCAAGTGTTTTCCGAAAACACAAATTAGCAAATCCGCTTGTCAATATTAGTGCATATGTCTGTTGGAAGCACTGATGTTGTAGAATATAGTCATCACTATTTCTACATTTCACCGTATAAAAGCGCAAGGCGGACTTTTCCTATTGCTAATTGGCCCAACGCTCAACCAATAAGCACATTGATCCCGCGTTTGTGGCGCCAATCGGATTAGAGAAGCGATGTTGAGTTTCAGCCAGGATGTGCAGGCCTGCACGAATTTTCGTTGCTCTTGGCTGGAAAGAGATAAAGGCATAGACTGTCTGTTTTAAGGTGAGCAAACGGATAATGAAAATTTGCTTCCACCAATGATACCTAGACCACATTTACATCTGAAACTACAGTGGTTAGATGACTTTTGAATACAAATATGCTCGATGCAATAGTTACGCACTACTTGTTCGGCCTATGATTACCCAACTTGTATTTCCATGCATAAATCAGGCAGTAAATGGTCTGCGAAAAACTGCACGCACCGAGTAAAATACACGAGGATCTACTTCTGTTAAACAGATCTAAATGGTTATGGTAATGCAATAGTCATACTGACTTCCTAAACTGTCGCCTTCAAAGGTCGTCTGCATGCAATGCGCCTTTAAAATTTAAGGGAAAGTTAAGCGGCACATTTTCGTTACAATCATCCCAACAAGATGATGTTTGCAGCTTTTATTTCCTCTAGCGCATATTTCATATGGACTAGACGCACACCGATCCCTCGGCTCCGCGCAGCACAAAATCTCCATATGTGTAACGAAGGTCAACAGGAAAAAACCAGCAAACAACAAGCTGAAGTCGGCCAAGTTATGATTGAATAAATAACCAATGTCCAGCGACAGACTGACAGCTGGCGAGGCACTGGTTCGATGGAGTTCTTACGGCACATCTTCTAGTTCCCGTTAGAGGACTACGTCCGCCTTCTGTGGACGCGTGTTTGGAATTTTTCTGGTGAGGGCTCTGATGAGATGACTGAAAGAAGAATACATCCGGGTAAAGATTACTTTGGTCGGCCATGTAAGATACTCCTAGCCTCAGAAATGTGTCCTACGGGGCCGATGGTATTAGTTGATTATTTAGCTTATTGGTTTATTCTTAGTTTTAGTTTAGTTAAGTTTGTGTAGTTTAGCTGAGTTTATTTAGAATGGTTAAGTACACATCGGTTAATTAAGTATATTTATATGTATATCTGAGGTGATCACGGGAACCATATTTTTACTAAAAATAAACTTATAAATAAACTAAAAACTAAACTTTGCTCAAAGCAAAATCAACCTAACAAACTGAACAATTCACTAAAAGCCAAGATAAAGTCAACTAAAACTGAAATAAATGTAATACAACTAAAACTACCCACGAGACTAAAAGCCTAGGTGTATCTAATTCAACTTTTACTTAAATCCGAAAAAAATATGTGGGAATTAGTCTATACTCTGTCGTCTTCCCACTTTTTACTTCTTCTATATTTAACAATTACAATAATAATAATGAGACCCAAATATGCAGTGTTATAGATGTTCGGGTGTTATAAATCGAAATTCGTAAATTATGAGCTAGCACTGACAAAGGCAGAGGTTCATTCACAAAAATACCTCATTTTTCGAACTAAGGTAAGATAGTTTTGAAGTAAATCAATACCCTCCTGTACAACCAGCACTCAGTGACCATTTATTTTCACTCGTTTATATGCCCAGCCGAATAGTTGTCTGCTTTTTATCTCCCAGGCTTCCGTTTTATGGATACATTTTTAAACACATTGTTCAGTTTCAACTTTTTGAAGTCTACGGGAGACAATTTCCAAGGGGCAAGGTGAGCGGATTTTCAGCCGCAAACGGTCTAGCTGGACTTATCAGAGGCCTTTAAAAAATCAAATAAAGCAGTGATGCAGCAGACAGATTTATGAATTAACGTGAAACGAATTTAATATGAAGGAGAAGTAAGAGATTTAATGACCGAGTAGCACAAAGATACCGAAAGTGTGTCTCTGCATTCGGAGTTATTTCAAAGTATGCAAGAACTGAAGTGGGACTTAGAAAAAAAAAACACTGTGGACAAATTCCTGATTACTGAGTAGACGACCGTGTGGAGATATTATCCGGGCCACCCTCCGGAAACTAGAGATGGGTCCAGTTTTTAATAGGATAGCGAAAAACGATACACTTAGCGTACTTACCGTATAGACCGTACATTAGCTAGCTCGAGTATTATGTGGTAAGTGAAAACCGATGAGGGCATAAGATGGAACCGTTGAGGAGTAAGCAGGCATTAGAAGACAAAGGAATATATGCCCAGTTTGGTAACAGTAGGTTGTGTAAGCGCCCTTAACCAGCACTAACTCAAATATTGTGTAAAACGGGAATGTTAGTAATGGAGGTTTTGAGGTGGAGTCTCACCGCGAACAAGCAGCGAAATGCGTGCAAGAAAACATCAAGAATGCGTAAATTGCCGCCCAATTTATTCTACTATATAAAGCCACCAAATTTAGGGTGACATTAAAAAATAAACAAAAGCACTTTTCGATTAATCAAAACCACCGTTAAACAACTTAATGAATGTCCCTATAAGAATGCAGTAATTAAAACACAGACAGTCACCTACAATTTGCATGAACTAAGAATTCAAACCAGGCAAGTCTATGTATTTTAAATCCAAGGGGCTCACATAATATATCCCTACCCTGCTCTTTCGATTGTGGCGTTCATAGGGCGGTTTTGAACGAATACAACACATAGAATCTTACCCTCAGACATTTATGTTGTGAAAGGTGGGCGTCAAATATTAGTTTATTTCTCATTGGTTCGATAGGTTAAGTCACGTCTACGTGGCTTATAACTGTGAACGCCCAGAAAAATTGCAGAGTATATAGGGCTCAGGAAGCTGAGAGGTAACGTGCAATCATACTTTACCTCCTTGTAGCCTTCTGTCAATTCTAAATGGGGCCACTTGTCAGCGGTGCGCCAGATTGTCGTCATGGAATTGTGTGGCATTCAGTAAATCCTTTCGGACACTCACATGTCATCTTTACTCTCAAGGGCTCATCATAGTTATGATGTACACTTTTTTTCTAGCTCGCCATAGATATTTCATGCCTGATGATAGTTCTCCGAACTTCTTAAGTGGTTTTTAAAATATGAAGTGGGAGACGAGTCTCGTTGAAAGAAACAGGGGTAAATAACTCGACAGCTGCGCCGTGGGGGGCATTATGTGTCTGAAACTTTCTGACTCGTTGCGATTGTGGAGAATGTGGGCGTACCTAAAGTCCATGTCACGAGACATCCCAAAACAAAAAGGCCCCTTTTTTTCAAAAAAATCTAAGGACCACCAGCTCCGTAGACTTCGGTTTAATAGAGTTGGCGCCTGGGACTTTGTCCGCCGGGTATATTGCGCGTCACCCTGATTATCGCTCGCAATCAAAATCTGCATTTATTGCCAATGACGGCGATGGTGTGCAGCTGAGCTGCTGAGATAGTTCCTCAAATGATCGGCCGGCAAAATCCCAGTTTGCATCCAAGATTAGCAGGCGAAAGCCTTATTTTTCTGTAATACAGAACTGGATGAAATAAACACTGTACGGTCTGGACAACACAAACGAAGGGAAATATAAATAAAAAACAAAAACATTTATGAATGTAGAATAAACAGAAATAACTACTTAAATACCCTAATCTTGCCAATAAATAGCACGCCATAATTAGAATGCGAATTTATAGAAATATCGGGAAATACCTAAATTCAAAAACAAGTTATTGAATCTAAAATAAAGTAACTAAAAAACGTAAACTTAAGTAAGCTAAACTGACTTAACTTGAAAAAGTATCTAAAACTAAAATAAGGTAGTAAAAATAGAAAAAGTAACGGAAATTAAATATAAAAACGTCAAATTAACAAAATAAAATAAACTACCTTAAGTTCTTGCGCAGGTAAATTGAAGGTGTGCGCAACGCTTTCCTTTGCGAGCTATACTAATAAAACTCCATAACGGCAAGTTGCACCTCAGATTCTTTGAAGTAGACGCTCCGCTAACCACCATTTTTTTCAGGAATATCCAGAAAGTCAGTTACCTACAAAGTAAAAGTAGTTAAAAAGTACCCATATTTTTCATACCCAAAAAGGTGTACATAGGTAAGAAATATAAGTGAATTTCTGTGTTTATTTAAAGCGCGCTTTTTTTGTTGCGGAACCAATAGATTATTTAAACAATTTCTCTGACCAAAAATATGATCCCAATGACCGGGCAAACATTTTTATCTGCAACTATTTTGCAACATCTGCTTCGCGGTTTGCTTTTCAAGAACTTTCTAATTCATGGGTTTTGCCTCACGATACGTTCCGCAGATTTTCATTATTTCCTGAGCTTAATAAAATTTTTATTTTTAAAATAAGAACTCCCTGAGCGAAATATTAAAGATGCGTTAATATACGCATAATTTAAAACGTACTTAATTAATTGCAAATCAAGAAAATTAATGAACATAGAATAGGAACATATAGGAAGAACGAGTGGTTAAAACGACACACCAGTTCCTCATTTCAGGAGGCGCCTTCAGCAGACCAGGAAAAATGCTCTGCCTGCCTGTGCACTACATTTATCGCACTGTCCTAACCATAATCGTCATCTATACTGCCCAGATAATTCACCCTCTCCATTTTTGTGAGTATCCATGAAACATTTTATATTTCACACTATACTGCCTTTGTGTCTTATATTTTATTATTTACTTGAGTATACTTTGGAGTGTATAGGACAAATTGTAAGAATAAATGAAGGTTTTATAAGAGTGACGGAAACATGTTTAATTTTCACAAGAGTATGCAACGGATTAAGTAGGCTTCACAAATGTTAGAGTGGATGTCACCCAGACGTTAGACAGTACGAGGTCACGTGAGGCTAGTCCGACGCAAACACAACGGTCTAGGTCATGCGACCGTCA